TTCATACCAATTTAAATTAATTAAAAATATGTTTTGCATGGTTTTTTTCTCCTGTACCGCTCAATTTAATTGATATTTAACATAATTCAGTATCCTAAATTTTGAAATACATTAGGAAAAATAAATAATAGTACACATTTAACTCATATTAATTTACATATCATACATTTTTTTTTTTAATTCAATATATATATATATTTTACAAAAAAAACTTAACTGTTATTACTAGTACTAATCTTAAACCTTATTACTGTCATTAATATATAGTTTTTTTTTCACCCAACAAACCATTTAAACAATTGTTTTGAGCATACCGAACAATGGGAATGTGAATTAACATTAGATAATAAAAAAAACATTAAATATTGATTAATTTTAATCGTTTCTAATTTAATTTCACAAATTTCCATTTGTTCGGTGTTTGTCATACTTAATCGATTCATACACTGTTGGGAACATACAGTTATATCACAAAAATCCGGAAAACTTAAACCGATGAACGTGAAAATTAATTTATTACTAACCCCAAATAAATTAACCATACTTCTATTTTCTAAATCTATATCATAAGAACTATAATCCTGCCTTATAGTATTCAAGACAACCTCATCTTCTGAGTACAATTGAGACCTATCTATTCCCTGATCGAATATCGAATTCTCCTTATAAGTCTCTAGTATATCGGCTACATGGTGGAATAAATATACATTAAAAGATCTTAAAAATATTATGGTTTGTTCGGTATCATGGCTATCGTTAGGGCAACACATTTTATTTTATAAAGTATAGTTAAAAATTATTATTATATTTTAAAATATATAACATACGATATTATAACTCTTGAATCTTCTGAGTATGTGTTGTAAATCAACGCCTTGGTACGCCAACGGTAGCGAACTGAAATAATATATTGTTGTGTAAATTTTTGAGATGAAAATAAAATATATTGTTGTTATAAATATTTTTACTTACTGAAAATAATTTGAACTGTTGCGATTAATAAAACAAAATTGTATTGAACTAAATTTAAAAATTTTGTTTACAAAGGCATCAGGACAAATGATGTTCTGCAAACTAATCGGGTTGTATTTATAGCCTACGAATAGGTGAAAATCTAACCCTTCTTGTTTAATTAATAAATGTTTATGTATAAAGATTTGCTTAAAATTGTATACCTAAACAATTTTTAATCAGATTATTTTACACTATACAATGTGACACAAAAATTCTATCATATATTATACATGATTAATACATTACAAATTAATTAAATTTAAAATAGTTTACCCTGTATATTATTTTTTAATTGACTAATACATAGATATGTGTTAAATAATATAAATAAAATTATCCCACGCACTTGCAAATGAACAAAAAAATTACACGTGCGAGGAAAATATAAATTAAGTCACGTATATTACAATTTTTTTCTATCAATAATCTTATAGTTTAATGATTTCATAAAACTCACATACAAAGGACTTCATCACATTACAATAATACTGGTAAGCTTACATTATATACATACAATACAATATTATAATATTTGGATATACACGTGCAAAGTTACTACGCAGTTTAAGTCATGTATGTATAGATTTTTTTTATCAATATTATTGTACTTGGGGGTTGTGATAAAACATACAATGGTCTTCAACACTGATTAACTCTGGTAAGCATATACTAAATATATATATGCAGTACAGTGTTATAATATTTTGGTTGCTAACGCAAAAATAAATCCGAGAGTTCCATATTATCATTGTGTTAAAATTATTTTTACAGCAAACTGATTTGTGATAATATTTGTACCCTACCACTGTGATAACAAACATTCCACTCAAATCTTACACGAATATTATATTATAATAACATATGACTGTTTACATTTTAAAATTATTGTCGCTCGATACCAACTCGTGTGCATTTTTTTTTTTACCCCCACGCTTGATTTTTTATACAGTTACTGTGGCATAATTTATATATATATATATGATAAGCTGAATAACAACCGACGTCGACGTAATATACATAATATTACATTGTATATTGTATAATATTTTGATATCCATCAAAGAGGCCACCGAGGGTTGTAGTATATTAAACTAGACGTTTGTTTACATTTAAAAATGAATGTCAATCGCGGCCGCCGCCCGCGCGTGGTAATTTATTTAACCGTGGTGACGTCACACATACCCCATACTTACAATTAACCATACATTAAATTGATAAGCCCGTGGATGTTCCAGACACCGGGCGAGGACAGGGCGCCGTCACACCGTACCCGTCGAGGTGGGGGTACGGTATAGGTGAACTGTGCAAACATGTTGTTATGGTGTGGTACGGCACTGACCTAGGTCAAATATGCACACATGGACGGGGTGCCGAAGGGAGGGAGTAAGACACTGCCCTAGGTTCAAACTGTATACGATAACATGGCCATAATGATCGGAGAGGAGGGGTATTCTACTGACCTAGGTCAAAAGTGCATGCAATAACTTTGTTGCTGGGGACGGAGTGGAGGGGGGTGTCACTGACCTAGGTTACCAATGCAGGACGGTCTGTGCCGAATGGAATGTGATGACGTCATTAAATGCATCAAATTTTAAAATTACATGGTGGGGGGGGGGGGTAGAGGGGAGGGGGGTCACTGACCTGGGTCAAAAGTGCAGGCCGATTCTGTCTAGAATGGAATGTGATGACGTCATCAAATGCATCAAATTTTGATGACGTAGGCACATTCCATTGTAGACAGAACCGGCATTCTATACTCTACTGTCATTCTTTATTTCAGAGCATGGGATTGAACAGTGTTCAATTAAAACAGTTTAAAAACCATTATGAAAATCACAAAATGTGTACCGGTGGAGTTAGCGAAGAGGAAATCGAACAAGTCGTGAAAGAAACCTTTGGAATAGAATGGAAAAAATCTGATATTTATTTTAGATACGGCTCAGGTAACATGTTGCTAAACAATTATATTTTCTATCGGTTCACTCTCGGACAATTTAAGTCTACCGTTATGATCTTTAAGTCCAAATCCTTTAAGATGCAACTCTAAAAATCACAAATTTTATTTTGTTAGTATTTTAGGGGGTACAAGTTGAAATAGTTAATTGCTGTAGAGCTCTCACCATAGGCGGACTTAGGGGTGGGCTAAAGAGGCATTATCCCCCCAAAATGTGATTTAGCCCCCCCAAACCCAATTGGCCTTTTTATTTCAGTAAAATTCTTATTTAATTTTCTATTACCTGAATAAGTATAAAAAACATTTTTTTTTTCAAATGTGCCTTTTTTTATATATATTTTTAATACTTAGGTTTTTTTAGACTAGTTATGTAACGTTTGATTGAGGTTTACGTGTCATTTTACACAAGACAACTTCTAATGTTTTATTATTCTGGCGGCTAACCGCCAACCGTCTGGTGGCAAGACCTATTGGGAGGGTGGGGTGAAGGATTGTTATTGTCATTGTAGACTACTTTTCCACAGCTTAGTATAAACAAATACAAAATATAAACATTATATTATATATATATATATAACTTATCGCAGATATTATAAAAATTGTTGAAAACCCATGGTAAAATTAAATTTTTTTAAATTTTTTTTATGTTAAAACATTTTGGGGTATATGCCATGCTAAAAAATATAACCAATTATTGTCTGTTCTACTGACAAATAGTACAGATAGTGTTTTTAATACATCAAAAATAGTTCGGTTTGTTTTGGCTAGTGAAGCTTGTTATATACGTAAGTTGAATTATAATTACTATAGTAAATTAAAACAACAATTTTACAGTAGGTATTATTTTAAAGAATAAATGTTTAAGATAACTCTTAGAAGTCAAATTTTAACATAAATATTTAATTCATCAATTAAGTATAGTGAAACCAAAAACTGGTTTGTTATGTAATAATTTGTGTGTTATTTGCTTTTTAATAGATAGATATTAATAGATATTATTTCAAAGACATCTTTGTGTGATATTTAAATTAAATATCATATTTTTCGTTATTTAAATCTTTTCTTAGCTGACAATTACCACTAATAACAATATAAAATATGTTTTTTTTATAATAGAGAACTATAAATTAATATTATCAGATAAAACGAGAAAAGAAAAAAGGGACGATAATTGTGGGTGGAAAAAAATATCACGTCAATAATATATCAAGTTCACGCCATACTTTTCCATTGACCTTAAGGGGAACGGAACGGGCTATTAAATAAAAGACAAATATTTGATAAAAAGTGGTCTAGTAGCCTATTAAAAACAAATTTAACATTCCAACTAATTTTAAGGCGTACAAATATTATTTTTTTTTAGGTATATAACTTTTTATATACGTTAAGTGGAAAATTTACGAAAAATAAAGATATTGTAGGCTACATTAGTGTCTAAATATTGTCTGGGACTTAAACCCCCCCCCCCCAAAAAAAATCAACCCCTAAGTCCGCCTATGGCTCTCACCTCTCCGTACCTACTATGCTTTGATTCCATTAGGCCTCAACCCCACTGTATTAGTTAACTCGGATAAAATCACCTATGAATAATCGCTTTAATGATAATTTTATATAATGCACCTCACATAAATACTATCTTATTATGCTGGTTTAAACTGGTTTATTACTAGCCATTCACGATATTATTATTGATTATAATATATTGGACAAAATAACACTTTTACAACTAATTTATTAAAAATGAATGACTTCATTACAACTAATTAATTTGATTACAGATGAGCCTGATTCTATGAATTTATTCTATTTATTGGGTGCGTTGGCGGAAAAAAACAAGATCCCCGACCAGGTATTCAAGTTTTCAAATCAATTAGCTTATACTCTAAATTAAACATATCCAACTATTCGCAGATATTTAAATTTAATGTGTGGCGCTCCCATATGATTTTTTTATTATTCTTTTTCTTACTATTATTATAGTTATAAATCAGCTAAAAATGTAATATATTTATCAAATTATCTTATTATACAGGACGACAAAGAAAAAGACAACAAGATCCCCGACAGTATCATCATCGACGAGGTATTCAGGGTCTCAAATAAACTAGCTTATACTTTAAATTAAATAGATACCAACCATTGACAAATATTGAAATAATTCAAATAATAGGGATCCAGTAGTGTTTTTTTTTTAGATACAATTAATGTCTTATCTATAATAAAACATCCTATGAATTAAAGTTCAAAATGTGGAATACAGTTGTGTGGTATTAAATTGTATTGGTGTGGTAATGGTGTTTTATTTATTGAAAATGCAGTTTTAAAAAGTCCAAGATATTTTTAAAATAATTATTAGGTCATTGCTGTTATAAGAAATCACTCTGTATAAAAAAAGGTTTTCAGGGTGAAATACTTACGCCTTTAGAAGTATACTTTTACCTGGATGAGTTCATTGCATGCGCCATGTCTCATCGGCAACCGGGATATCTTACTCTTCAACAGCTATCGAAAGTCTTTAAGTATTGGACAACGATAAATAGTAGATTGAACGCAAAATCAAAAGAACTTGAAATCGAAAAAGGCGGTAATGTATATAAGCCGAGGAGGCGGTTCACCTCTTCCATTATGTAAAAATTGTTTTTTTTAATTTTTTTTCAATTTTAGTTCGCTATGTAATAAACTCGGCCGACTTCTTGTTGATCATGTTGGAAATAAAACCAAAAGTAAGTACAATGCCCGTGCAAACAAAAAAGTTGGGGAATTATAATCTCTGTATACATTGAATATACAACTTTTAGTAGAATCTGCTTAAAATAAGTATTTTCCAAAAATAATTAAACAGGCGATAACGTCGTTTTATTTATTTTTAAATTATGTATAATACTTTAAAATAAAATTGGTTAACAATTTACAACTAAAAAAACAAAAATGTAAGTGAGTAGTAGTAGAAGCAGTAGTAATAGTAGTACACGAGGAAGTAAGAGATATTCAGTGTTCACAGATAAAAATAAACACCTATATCGAAACAAATGTAGTAATTTAATTTGATCGTTTTTCTATAAAAATGTATCGCAATAGTTACACTTATAATTAACAATATAATGAACGTACTTTCATTACCTGTTAACTGTTGAATCTCTCACACATAGCAACCTGGAAATGGACAGAAAAAAATAGTAAAAATTACTAAAAAGTAAAAGAGGGCCCATATATTCTGTTTTTGATTTTATGTTCTTAATTTATATTTTTCTAAATAATGCGAATTTTTTTTTTTTAATTTTTCAATCTTTTAGCACTTTTTATATTTTTGTATTATGATGTATTTTGCGAATTGGACCAGTCCCGTATATATATATTTATATATTTAAATGAATAAAAAATAATTTTACGTAAAGAAATATTTACCAATCAATTGTATCACATTTTATTTAAAAGGAAAATTAACTACATTATTAAATAATGTATAGATCTTTATATTTTGACTAAAAAGAAAATCGAGGGATTATTTAATTAAGTGCTTTATAAATTTATCAAATAACATTTCTTAATTAATTCGGACTTTGTTGAATAGAGCCCATGCTTTTCTTTTTGTCAAAAATTAAGAATTCAAAGACTTGAAACAATTAACGAAATTAAAATATATCACAATACAACAACATAAAAAGGACAAACATATTAAAACAATACAAAAAATACAAAATTCGCAATAATTAGAAAAATGTAAATTTACATATAGAACATAAAATCTAAAATTAAAAAGGTGGGTCCTCTTTTACTTTTTAGTTCACTTTTTTAATATGTTTTAGAAAAGCATGTCTTTAAAAAAAAGGTTTTTTTAAAATTTTTAAATTTTATTTTTCACTTGTCAGTTCTATTAAAGCTACTTAATAGTTAATAATTATTTAATTATTTTTGGAAGATTTAAAAGGAGCATGAAGTTTTAATGAAATAACCCCTATATTTGATCCCCCCTTCTCGGCATTTACGACCTGTATATCCAGGTTCTAATATTATGACGATTTTAAATTACAATTTTTTCCTATTAAACCCTTTTGCGTAGCCACTGTGAAGTTTTATGTAAACAACAAGCTGAAATTTTTCCATGTTTTTTAAGATGAGGAGTTCAATGATGTTTTGCTGGAGCGGCATTACAGCTTAGCTGATTCTTACAGTTAACATATGACACTTGAAAATGTCTTTCTTAAAATATCATACAAGTCATTTTGTAGTGTTTTTATTGCAGATTTAAGGTTGTTTTATAATTGTAAAAATATTGCTCAATCTAGATATGTGGACATTTGGGGATTTATTGTTTGAATAGACTTTTATCGATATGGATGGTGGGAGATATATAAACAATTACATTTTTTTTAAGCTTTTGTTAATGTTTTTTTCGTACATTGTAGGGCCGTGGTCTGACCCTGCCACAATTAAAAATGTTTGTTGCTTTGTACGAAGCACACAAGACATCCAATAGAATTAATGCTGAGGCAAGTAAACGAGTGTTCCAAAATCTTGGTATACAAATAGATGACTATTTGAAAAAGCTATTTAAATCCGACCGTAAGAATTATTTTTATACTATACTAGGTATGATAAGTGATTGGAAAACTGCTAATTATTTAAACTCGCACAGGACCCGCTGGAAAATTGTTGATGGATTTAATCATCGTTGCGGCAGAACGCAATACGGCGGTCAAGGATAATGTAATAGAGTTCATCATTTTTTTTTTATAATTTCAAAGATCTCCACTGTTATGTTTTTTATACCTACTCAATAATAATTTCTTTAAATTTTGATATTAACGATTGCTTAGGAATTGATGGTGTTAAGTCCAAGCGAGGTCGTGTTTGCCATAAAAGAGTTCAATAAGATGAAAATCGACAACGATGGTTTAATGTCCCCTTATGAGTATGCCGGCTTCAAGGTAGAGCCAAGCACTATTTTAAAATCGAAGAAATGGTCGAAAGAAGTCATACAGTATTTAAGGAAATTAGATGGTGAAGTTATTTTAAACAGTGTGATAAAATTATGATCGTTGGTGATCGCCGGATAAAAAAAATTATTTTTCCTTTTTTAGATATTAAAACATTAAACGTAGCGGAATACATGGAAATTTTATTGTTCGTTGAAAAACATGTCGAAAGCAATCCAAAAGATGTCATATTCGAATTTAGATCCGATGACGATATGTATGGTAGCTTCGAGAACGACCACTTTATGACATACGGTAATGGTACCGATAGTGATAACGATTGTGATTTTACCATCGATGGTAAACGATGGTGTCAATATTGATGACTCACATTCTTAAGCAATATTATTTAGACATTTTCAATAACCATATTGTATATTTCAAGTATTTTTATGTGTGTATCAATTAAGATATTACGCACTTCGGTGTTTAATAAAAAAAAATTATTATCTGATTTCTAATTATTTTATATTTACAAACAAAATAAAGATATTGTTGTAGTTCAAAAAATTGAATTGTTTATCTAAAACTCTTTAGAATAGCCCAAAAATATATTTGGTTTTTTTTCTGTTATGAATTTGTTTAATTAAATTTTTACACTTAACAATTTACTTTTGAAAAAAGCACTTATAAATATCAATATATATTAGCTTCGATTCGGAGTTGAGAAAGTATTGGATTTACAATGATGTGTTTTTTTTTGTGGCATCGAAGCTTTCAAAAACGGTTAAATCACTTTTAAATTAAATTCCCTCCTTGAATTTTATCTATAAATTAAAAAAGGAAATAAAGATACTTTTGTAATTATGAAAACTAAATTGTTTATCTATAACTCTTTAGAATAGTCCTAAAATATACTTGGTTTTTTTTCTGCAATGAATTTTTGTAATTAAATGTTTACACTAAACAATTTATTTTTGAAAAAAACACTTAAAAAGTATCAATAAATATTAGCGTCGATGCGGAGTTGAGAAGGTATTGGATTTACAATGATGTGGTTTTTTTTGTGGGGCATCGAAGCTTTTAAAAACGGTAAAATCACATTTAATATGAATACCCTCAAATTGTAGTTAATTTTCGGTTGTTTTCAAAGTAATTGACATTTTAAATAAAATGTGCCACAATTGATTGGTAAATAGTCCTTGCAGTAAAATGTAATTTTTTAGAAAAGCATGTTTTTAAAAATTTCTTTTTTTCTAAGTCAACTTCGGGTCAACACCATTGCGGAAACAAATAGTCTTATTATATTTACAAATAAGGAACAAAGCGTTTATTTGAAAGTGCTTTTATCACTTTAATTTATAATAATTTCTGTAAACCTGTGACCTCTCCGTCTCCTCGTTGCTTTGATTCCATTGTGCATATACTTTACTGTACTAGTCCTCTCGGATAAAATAACTTCCAAATTAATTCTTTGATGCTTATTTGTAAATACAGCACCCCAATGAAATACTCCCTTACTTTGCTGGTTTACACTATGTTTGCTTTGGACTGTACTAGATCGAAAATACTAATTACTGATTTGCATCGAAGCGTTTATTCAAAAAGTAATTTTATCAATTTCCGAATTAAAAATTCTAAGGCGTTAGATAAAGTTGATACATCAAAAGTGGTATTTGTTTAGAACTCGTATAACGTAGTTGTTAAGCTTTCACATAGTTTATATCTCCAATTGGAAAGCATTTGATCAGCAACCGACCATGTCAATATGTAAATATACTCTTAATCTATGATTTATTCATGGGTTAAGTTAATACTATTCATCATTCTCAGAAAAGAGAAACATTTTTGCGTTCTGAAAAACAGTGGTACGTTGCGTTAATACTGTTAAAAATACAAACTGGAAAATTGATAGTAGTTCTCTAACAAGTTAGTTTTAACCGAAAAAGTACGTTCTATTGTATATTACTCATCGACATTTATGTATATTATGATCAATGAAATTAATTCCGTTGCTCGTTGGTACAGAGGAAAAAAAACATATTATAGTAATGCAATAACTTCTCAAAATAGATGTTATATAATATTTTTCTAATAATGTTTGACACACGATGACTAGTTAGCGGAACTTGCATGTAAATCAGTTTTGGAACGAGCATATAGAACAAATTTAATTAATAAATTAATCAATTTTTTGAGGTTTATATTATATATTTTCAAATAGTCTTGGTAGGTATATCAAGAAAATATTAAAATTTAAATTAAATATTCGGGAATTCTATTCTTTAGATAAAGTTTGTATTTGAATCGGGTTTTAATTCTATTGTTTTTTTTAAGCTCCAATAATGCATTTGCAAGGGTTGATTTTAACACTGGGTTGGGTTGCTTTAATTTGTTCTATAAACATTGTGTCGGTTACGACGAACAAACAACAAAAAATTGAACTTGCTAAAAAGTTAAACATGCTGGTGCATCATTCGGATATCAATGAAATATCGCAGTGAAATCACGGATCCCATTTCTGCAATACTCGAAGCCATATCGTTGAACCAGGTGCCGGTCCACGAATCCAACATCTTGGAAAGACACAATGAGATTTTGACTGTGCTCAGTTGTAAGTACGACCAGATTATTTTTAATTACAAGACACTCATAAGTAAATTTATATGGGTTTGCCAAAACGAAAAAAGTACTCTGACCCGCTGTAGAACTTTTCATGGATTTAATGGCCACTGCGGCAGATCGTAATACGGCGGTCGAGGATAATGTAATAGCGTTCATCATTTTTTTTTTTTTTTAAATTTCAAAGATTTTCACTTTTATGTTTTTTTTATACCTACTCGTCAGTAATAACTATATATTTTGATATTAACGATTGCTTAGGAATTGATAGTGTTAAGTCCAGGCGAGGTCGTATTTGCCGGTTTGGATTGTGCTTAGGTTAGACTTTGCTGGTTTACACTGTACTCGTTTTTTTATGTTATGAAGTTATGGACATCTTATCGGCAGGGACTAAAAGGCCGATTTCATATTTTTGTTATCAAAATCGTATTATAAACAATTATATTTTTACTTTTTCATAATAAATCCATCTAATATTTTAATAGCTTAATCAAAAAACTTTTAGCCCCCATAGCAAAAATAGTAAATTTAATTATTTGTCATTGTTGATAATAATTATTTAAGTTCGAATATTAAACATTTTTTTTAGTTGGTATCATGTTTTCAAAACGACGTGGGTATCTTTTTTAATATATATATATATATATATATATATATATATATATATTTTACATATATGTTTTTTTGTATTTTTCTCATTGTCACTAATAACAAGTAGGTATATTTTTTTGTACTAGTATAAGAAAAGTTGTTTTTTCGTAAACGTATTCCGTTTGGCTGTTTGAACTATTTCATTGTGCGTTAGTACTGTGTATTTACATAAATTGTAGCGACTACCACTATTTTGTACATTCATATTTTACCATTGGTTAAGCGTTTAGACTAATTTGATTTTTTATTTCATCCCTAAGGACATGTAACTACATGCTGTTAGCGTAATTATTAGTATACAACTAGCATTTTTAGTTTTAATTAAAATTCTCTTGTTTTACGAAAGTCAACGATTTATATTATTATAAGTATTTTTTTTTCACACATTATACTATTTTACAGTATTTTTCACAATACACCATTGAATTTTGCAATGCAAACAAAATATGAAAAACAACTGTTGTTTTTACAACACACGACCTTTTAAGTTATGACGATTAAGAACAGTTGTATTTTACAAAAACAATATTTTATAGTTTTACCTACTTTATATATTTTCTTTAAGATTTAAATAGCTGTGGTGCTTACTTATCTGCACAACACACAAACGACACAACACGATATTATATTATGTTTTCTTTCAGTCGAAAACAAGTTGTTTAATTGTTTATACTTTTTTTCACCGGATCTCCGTTTAGTCGGTACTTCATTTACTTTCATACATGGAAACGTATTTAAAACACGATTTAAATTGAAGTTATTCGTTAAAATAAGATTTTTTCTTATTTCAATCTACAAATCGCCTTACACTAGTTTACTCAAAAACTACTTAAATATTTACAAAATAATGTTTGCACAATACTTTGTATTTTCCCTTCTTCTTCGAAAATTCGATACCGACATTTGATTGCTTAAAAAAAATTGTTATATTCATAATAATTTAAAATAATTATACGTAGTTAACTTACAAATTAACAGTTTATCATTATTCAGTAAAGAAATCAAACCTCTTTAAATCTTAAAGTTTAAATTTGTAGCACCACAATCCAAACATACAAATTTAATTGTTTGGTTTTAGAATACCAGTTCCCAATGGAATTAATATTCACATTTATGAGTATTAATATAAACAGCTCATCTCTGTACGGTTACCAACTATTATGCATTTCATTAGTAATAATTTACATTTCATAATATTACTAGAACAGTGACAAAACGTACAAGCTACTGTTACTTGTTAGAATAAAACAATTGATGGTCACTTGGTCAGACTAGTCATGACATTATAGGTGAAACTGTTAACGTTGTTGTAGTAGTGCATAATAAAAGATAAGATTAAGAGCAATATTATAGCTAGTATAATAGACTATAGATAAATTATCGAAACAAGAGTAGGATAATTAGCTTTCTATCAGTTGAATATCTCAAAAAGTAAAAGCAAAAACAGTCAGAAAAGTTAACTACTTCTTCGTCGAGAAAATCGAAAAAAATATCCCTATAAATTTACACAGTTTTAAAAATAGTCAAATCATGAACTATTTTCTTTTAGCTTCGATCCGATTACAAGACGCTATTGGTTTTATAATGGTATGCAAAGATTGTTTATTGGTGTACATTTTCTGGAATTTCAGTTGTTAAGGTCTTTGCAACACCAGTAGATCAGGGTTAATCGTATTTCTATAATAATTTAGTGTCATTGTTATCCATAAGTAGTCAAGAACAACAATTTTTTCATCATTGTAAATTACTCTTCTGTATAATTTTATATTTACTTTCATACACGGTAACGTATTGAAAACACGTTTAAAGTTGTGTTATTTATCGAAATAAGAAGAAAAGATATTATTTTGATGTGATGTTTTATATGCTTGTTCAAATTGTTAGGTACCTGCCAGTCATACACCATTGCTCTAAATAAGAAATACATCCAAAAACAACACCTTGACATCGACCTAGTTTTATTATCTAAAGTCTCCAAGTTTAAAACCATTTGATAATTATTATATTTTGAGGCCAATTATTTTTTATTTGAGCAATTATTAATGTAGGACATTTTTTAGTTTTCCGATTTTAAGTTTATAATTGTATAGAAAACATATTATATTTTAACACTTCTAGAAAACATTCCATCTCTTATGGAATACTTATAATAAATAAAAATGTTTCGATAGTAAGACGGATCATATAAATCGTGTGATACCACATAAAA